ACCAAAAAAATTTATTTTTATGATCCAAAATAAGATTCATTTTCAAATCTTAAGAGGGTACTATTAAATGTTTTGTTCCTTATTAATGCATCCATCTGTGGTTAAATAATATTCATTTAAAAGAGTACCCGGGCATATCAATAAAGTTTTGTATTTGATTTTACAAAAATATTTACATTATTTAATGATTATATATATTAAAAAAAAAAAAAAAAAAACTCCCTACCTTTCACCACAAATAGGGAAGAGTAATCTGTTGGTCTCTGTAACTTCATCTTTTCAACTTGAAGAGGAAGGAGTCTAATATGCCCAGCACCCAAGTAGGATCACGTACGGAATGATGAAATCGAACCATATCCAGTCAAGGTCTACAAGGTATTATCAACAGATTGGAAGATCGCTCTCATTCGAGGAAGGAAAAAGAACTCCGATCCTTAGGGTGTAATATTGATTATTGAAAACTCGTTATAAGCGCACATAATGTTAAGAAATCATCATCTCCTTCAGATTACATAGCACTTCGGCAAACAGCAAAACTAAAAGGGGAAAAAAATCAAAGCTATCTAGTTTAATTTAGGCAACCAAAATTTCCAATTTCCATTCAAAAAAGAATTCTAAATCCCGTCCGAGTTCAGTAGATTTTTCTTCACTGGAGACAGACACCATGAGCAGACACAAGATATATCAAAACCATCTCGTATACGTCATACATGACTGGTCTCACTGGTCTTGTCAGTTTCACCAGTCTTGTTGGGTTGGGAGTTCTGAATCTTTTTCTCATCTTCCTTTGCATCCCCATTAGAGCAATGATTCTTCAGAACCAAGGAAATGTCAGTCTCAGAAGCACCTGCAAGTTTAAAACGCTCCACCGCTGTATCCAAATTTTTCTTCCAACCACCCATCCCTAATTTGCATTCGACTTGGGATCTTTCAAATAGCATATTCCCCCAGAAGAGGTGAATCTGTGATCTCATGACAGCTGCTTGCTCTGCAGCTTCTTCTGCAGATATATCACCATGACCACCAACCGCAGAGGTCTCACCTTCAGCAGCAGCTCCCTGTTTTTTCCTTCTTCTCAGTAGTTCCTCTTTCTTGGTTGCATTAGGATCTTTTAGCTCATTTGCCCTCTGCTCTTCCAGCTTTTCCCACATATCAGTTGCAGCTTTCATCTTCTCCTCTGCACTGTCAAAGAGTTTAAGTGTCTCTGAAGAATCCCAAGCTGATAAATCCATCTTCTTAGCAAGTGCAAATGACCAATTAAGTTTGGCCATCTCAAATTGTTGCTGTCCCAGAGCTAGCAATCCCTCATAGAAGTCTGGTTTTATTAAAAGGGCTTCTTCATACTTCTTCCTTGCCAACGAATATTTTTCCTTGACCCAATCATAAGCCACTTGAAGCTGCTCTGCCACTTTTCCTTCTCACCTGACTCGTCTAAGGGAATTCGTTTTCTAGCTGCACACATGTGAATATTTCCCCAATTGAAGAATGCCAAAGCAGCTACCTCCTGGAACTTTGAAGCAGCTTTGTCAAAGAGATCTTGAGCCTCCTCGCTAGTTACTGTTTCCTCAAGCGCCTCAGAACAAAGCTCCATCCCAAGCTCATGCAAGTCAATATGAGCATCTGGATCAATGCCCACATGGGAGCGGAAAAGCTGAGCAAATTCAAACAACCAATCATCCATCTCCACTTCCTTGCATTCAGCATCTTCTGTGGTTGTTTGTTTCTCTTTGGGAGCTTCTTTCCCCATTTTATCAACCTCGGTCTCTGGAGCCTCTAGGACACATTCACTTTGGGAAGTATGTGACCCACTCTCATCTCCCTTGATGCCTTCACTCTCAACAGGTTTTACTTCCTCTTCTTCTGGTAAAGGAGGCTCCTGCTCAGGACTAACTTCAACAATGTGCAGTCTCAACGTGCCAACAGAATCACTTTTATCTGCATCAGGCTCTCTTATAAGATGGCTATCTGCACTAGATTCTGCTAGTCTAAGCTCCTCAGTAGAAGTTATTGTCACCAAATCACCATCGCTATCCTTATACTTGATCAGAACTGACTTAGATGATGGAAATCTTTTACTCACTATATCTCTTAGTGTTCTAAAATTGCAATTCACTGGCATCCGGGCAAGCCTAATGTCATGATCATAAACAAGTTTCAATGGCCTCCACTGAATTGCAAATTCTAAATGCTGTCCATGAGTAATTGATGAATGCAATGACAGTTCATTGTAGTTTTCTTTTCTTGGGTTCAGTGATCTTGCTGAAGCATTTGAAGGCTTCAATACAACTTTTGGCATTTGCGGCTTGGTCTCAGGACCATTTTCAGTAACTAAAGTTGGTTGGGACTTCTCTGGCTTACTGTTAGCAGGGGCAACTGAACCACCTGCTGCGTTTGCCGCTTTCTTTGCCGCTGGCCTGGCCGGTAAACATGGCCCTAAACCAGCAATAGGGGCCCCACGGACTGCAGAAGCACCAAGAGCAGCAGGGGATGGCCGACTCTGAAGATCCTGCTGGGCTTCCTGGCGAGGACCTAGTGCTGTCCTCAGTCTCTGGGCAATCTCCAGAGCATCCCGATGATTAGGGTCAGATGCCAGTAAGCCTTGGACATCCTGCATGGCCATTTCATACTTCCCTATAGCCTCAAATGCCCGAGCCCTCCGAAGAAGTGCCCGGACGTAATGGGGCTGGACCTGCAATGCCATGGTGCATTCAGCAATCACAGTTTCGTAATCTATGGGCTTCATTTGCATCAAGCATGCCGCTCTGTTGCTGTGAAAGACCGCTCTCTCAGGGTGGGTCTTGGGGGTTAGCCGAAGAGCATTCTCATACTGCCCAAGGGCACCAGCATAGTCCTTGTTTTGAAATCTCTTGTTCCCTTCTTCTTTGAGCTCAAGGGCTCTTTTCAGAAAGACTGAAGAGTCTAAATCCACACCACCATTAGCACTTGGAGCCGAATTATCAGCAACAACTTGATTTGAACCACCCTTCTTTTTCCTACCCCCGGATTTCCCCATATAATTCTATCTCTGTTCTGCCCAATCAGGCAGACGCAGTGGCAGAGCCTCAATCAATTATTCAAACAAATATTAAATCGAACAGAGTCCTACCAGCAAGCCCGTGACCTTTCAGAACCTTTAAAATTCTATCCAACGAAGCCGACACCAAAGAGAGATAAGGGAGAAGAGGTACTTACAAGCTATGAAAAACTGAAAGCTTCCCGCAAGAAGGGATAATCCCCAGCTATTGCCCAGTCGATAACCGGAAGAAAACTCTAGAAGGAGTGCTGGGGTTTAGTTAAAAGTTGAAACCCTAGAGAGAAGAATCAGTTTCGTATTTCCGAATTCCGATAATAGGAGATTCAGTCATCAGGCCCCGAAAATGGGCCCTACGCGTTCCCCATTCTCAACCGTATGATCTGAAGACCTCCTCATCTTGACCTTGATCGCATCAAGCATTCGGCTCCGGTCCCTGCCTTGACGCGTGGATGATAACTGATGAATCGCCATCAAAAAGGCTATTTTCGTAAATACAGCATTAGGTTAAACAAAGAAATGCTCTATAAATTGCCCGTCAAACTCAAGCACAGGCACCATTTGGCTGCGGCAAAGGGAATTAGGGTTTTCAGTGGTTGCTTCTATTTGGCTGCGATCAAGTGAGGGGATTGTTTCTGTTCTTTGTAAGTATGATTGAAAGGCCTCTGTAGTCGACAAGAGATAATGGGGAGACTGTGACGAGTGTCTCTGCCATGAACGAACAGAGAGGCAAAGTGATAATTGGCGAGTCATCGTTTCGGTCGTCATTTGTTAAGATTGGCGAATCGATTGTTCCTCGTCTACATTGCTCACCTAACTCAATCCCTCAAATTCTTCCCTCCTCTTTTCTTTGACATTGATTGAAGTTTGCAAAAGCGACTCAAAATGAACTGATTAATCGGTAGATAACATTAGATTATCTTCTGTGTGGGTTTTTAATGTTATCAGTCAACTCTGGGATTCAGATCTGGGGGAGATTAAACAGGAGAAATTGTAATACGCGAGTGTTTAATAAATTTGCTAACTGTAGGACGGTTCAGTTGAGGAAGTAAATCAAATAACTGTACAAAAAATTAAACTTCAAATAAAAATTAATTTTAATTATTTGTGTGTCGAGTCATCTTGACTATGATGACTTCTTCACCCAAAAAGTATAGAGGCGTTGTGTCAAAGGCAGATAATCTAGAATATTTGGCAGCTTCTCTGTCGATCCAGGGAGCTTTTCCAATCCCACTGAATGGCTTGAATTAAAAGAATTAAGGAGGATGATTTTGGGCATTGGTATTTAGTAGGTTGATTTCCCTTTTTGGAAGACCGTGGGACAAAAATCCCAGCTATTGGTGTCGCCTTGAGTACGGAATCATGTCAACCCTCAAACCCAGGTCGGTGCCGGAACAAATAGCACCCAAGAAAACAAAATACAAATAAAAATGGTCGAAAGGTTCAATGTGTTCAGCACAAGTCCGAAACTCCCTCACATTCCGATTATGCCGCCTGAAACACCCGGGTGTTGGTAAGAAAAATTAATTTTAATCTGAAAGCACATGAAAGATTGAAATGTGAATTGCCTGGGTTGCATAATTAAGCCTTTGTTACGCATAACATCGCGAATTCGAGCTAGAAGACATAAGGGGTATGGCCAAAAAAATACGAATTGCCCAAAGACATTCTTAGGAAACATATATCTTGCATCATGGAAAGATTAAAATGCTAAGAAGTGAGTTTACTTGAGGAGTAAATTATCAAGTGCACTATCCTTTTCCCTTGGGCTTGAATTATTAGTCAACTAAATCATTTAGTGCATGGAATGGTAAGTAATCACAATTCAACTAGCATTAGCATTTTACCACCCCAAAAAAAAAAACTAGCATTAGCATTTCTCTGTTGTCTGTCATCATCTTTACAAGAAAAGGGGATCAATTGATCACGGAAATGATTTTGATTTAGCATAAAACCAACCAAACCAACTATTCAATGTAAACTGATAAAATGTTACATTGGAGGGGGAAAAGCCTAGAGGGGGACAAGAAAAATAAAAATGGGGGTGTTCTGATGTGAGTTAGAGTAATTAGATTGAGATTCTATGTTCATTCCTTGGTAATATGCCCCAAAAAAAATTGGGAGGCGTCACAGTACTTCAGGGTAATACTCAGGGGTAGGATGGAACAGCATCCAGGACTTTGTCAATACTGTACTTTTGTGAGGGTGAAAATGACAATGGCTGGGGTTTAAAATCAGAAATATCAAACAATGCTATGAAGCTCTGATCTGACACTCTAGCTTTAGCAGCTGCAAAACTTTGATACTCATCAAAAATGGATGATAGACACCATCTTTGCAATTTTCTTAAGCATCCCACAAGACAACCAGTGCGATGCTGCTTGCAGTAAAAAAAACAAAAAACATATACACCAATGAATCCAAATACCAGAGTAAACAAAGAATAAAGAACAGTGAAACAGCGAATACCTTTCCTCTTTTGCAATGAATGAGCAATGGATGGTTCCCAACATCTGGTGCAGGGGGGAAAAAAAGCATGATTTATGTTAATAAATCCCTGAACAACCTGTGCTATAAGATTTATGCATTATACTCAAGTTCAAGGATTTGAGGATACCTAGGATAACTTTCAATGCCTCACGAATTATATCTTCCGGGTCTTTTGTCAAAAGATCCTGCTCACAGTAGCGTTGTCAATGTAGAGATCACACTCTTTTTTATGTTATCTAATCAGCGGGATTTAAACCAAGAAATCTCAAGGGCATAGAAAAAATTCACTGTAGAATGCATAAAAGCAAGTGCAATAGTCACTTAGGAGGCCAGACTTCATAATTTCTGGCCCAGAAGTTGCTTTCAGTTAAGAAAAATAATATCTGCATTGAGCCAGGAAACCTGCAACGGCAGGAACTGCCTTGGAGTAGTACTTTTAAGAGTACCAATAATAACTAACCTTCTATGAAGACCAGTTGAAATAGTTTGAATAACATGATTCTTAAAATCAAGGTTAGCGGCTTTTTAAGCATTTTATATCCCCAATGTTTTTCTGGATTACTTAAATAAAGCTCTGCACTTTCATGGTCCAAATCCGTATGATTTTGAACATCTTAAATTAAGCCAATGGTCCAGCAGCAAGACCTGGATTTTCTTTGAAGTTCCCACTAAATTAGTTTTTATGCGTGAGGTATATCTTATGGCAAATATAAATGATATTGTTAGTAGGTACAGATCAAGAAACTAGCTTAAACACCCTCCTCCAAAGGATGTCCGAAACGATACTGATGGACATGATAGATTTGTCCAATGGACAAATGAACACAAGTAATACTTTCGAAAAAAAAATTTGATAATGAAAACTCATAGTCTGAACTCTGAAATAGCTGAATAATGAACATTAAGAAGAGTTTTATCAAGAGTAGTCATGAAAAGCAGGAAAAGCTTCAGTTGACTAGACTAACGGAGAAATGAGACTCTTTAGGGACAAAGAGAATGCTGCCACAAGTTAAATCCGGGGGCAATCAGATACAATTTGAATTCAAATCAGAAGGGGACTTGGTCTGCGTTCAAATAATCTCAGCCGCAGTAGATCAGAAGGCTTTAGGAAAAAGAGGACAAGCAAAAGCTAAGAAACAAACATGAGAATAGTAATTGTAGTATTTGGCCAAAAAAAAAAACTTAGCAAATAATCTATACACAACTCATTCTCGCCAACTCTCAGCATCTTCTTAGAACTCTACAATTTCAACACCTTTATAATCCATCATCAAATTAACTATCCATGCGACTACTTTTCCAGAAACTTCCTTCAAATAAGGACTCCCCACGCAAACCATTCAAAGACAATCAATCAAGTTACAAAACTATTCATCATTGGTGGGAACCTCAAGTCAAATGTGGCAAATATAGTCCAGGGCCAACGACCTAGGTTCCAAGGATATCAAAACCTTATCTAAACCATATTGTAATGTGACAATATTTCATCAGACCATCTTCATTAGTGCTTTCATTATGACATCCCATCGCTCCTAAAACTAACTCGTGCTAAAGCATCATGCAATAATTTGCGAACCAACCAGCTCAAAGTTAATAGCCAACCAACAAGAAAGCAGTAAAAATAATAATAATAATAATAATAATAAGGCAAAGAAAATAATCCAACTGCAGAAGAACACTTCAGAATAGGGTGATCAAGCAAGAAGAAAAATACAACACCTTCGAGCCATCGATTCCGAATTGATAAAGCCTTATTCCATTAGCCTTCAAGAACTCCAAATTGGCTTCGGGATACTCGTCAGGGAACAAACATCTGCACAAATCAACAGTCTCGACAACGTTAGAAATTTAGAAACCCGTGGGCTATACAAATAGTGAAGGAAACCAGATTCATTAACCAAACTAACAATTAATATAAATTGAACTCACATAATGGAACGTAGGCGAAGGGTTTTCAAGAATCCGAAGCTGGCGGAATCAGGGAAGCCAGACCTAAAAATGCCATAATCGACCATCCCGAAGTTCAGGGGAGGCATCAACATCTCCTCCCCACCCGTCCCGTTACCGTCCCCGCTCTCGGCAGATGTTCGCGGCTGCACAATACCGACGGTGAAGGATTCCGGAGCCTCGCTCGCCATGCGCAAAAACTCGCCGTTGGAGATATCCAACGTCATGCTTTTGGCGCCAAAATCTCGAGGAATAAAAAAGCAATCAGAAAGGACGTTTCAAAAATCGAAAAAGTGATATGCGGAATCTATGACTTTGACAACAAAACAGATTTTAAAAATCCTAATCTGATTCGTGAAAAATCATCATTGAATAAAATCGCGAAGCTGGCCCTAAAATTATTCAGAAAATAATTTCAGCAAAAAAAAAATCACAATATTATTACCGGAAAACACGCTGGTAAGCGAAAAGACAGCAATAACAGGGAAAGACACGGCGGTAATTGAGTTGAACAGCTCCTTCTGCAGTGATGGAGATAACTGAAGCTAATCTGCACGTAACAAGCAAAGAGGACTAATTTCTGTTTGTTTGTCGATGTACATTGAATTGTCACCGAAACAATGAACCTCTGATAACAACTGAATTGAATTTTTTTTGGCTGACTCGATCACAACTGATGGCGAAGAAAAGTCTGTTGAAATCTCTATATATACACCAAAATAACGTGTCTGGGGATAAATTTTGGTCTAATCTGATTATTGGATTATTGATTTGATTATCCTTAAAAACTAAAAGCTCTATTTAAATCTTTGTAATATTAAATGTAACAGGAAAAATCTTCCATACAAATGTACAGGTATAATTATTTTTTATATTTATATTTTAAAGAATGGACAATAACAGGGGGGGAAAAAGGATAATATCAGCTTATCCTAGTTTGAATTTGAATTTAAATGGTTTTAAATTTAAATCAGACCAAATAAAAAAGTATTAACGGAAATTTAAATTAGAATTTGATTTGAAATTAGCTATGAACACAAAACTACAATTATCTCGTAAAATTGATAATAAAATTGAAAAACTGATAATAATTAATTATTATTAATAATAACCACTTATGATTTTGGCTTTATAATTGATTTTTATATATATATATATATATATAATACTTATCCCTTGTAATGTACTCATGCTATAGTTGCTAGTGGAGGCATGAAGCAGTTCAGTCACTTACTAATAAATCTCTAACAAAGAATATGAGTACAAAGGTTTAAGAAATTGAGGCTTGAGGGAAACGAGATTTTTTTTTTTTTTTGGGGACCGAAAGTGAAAGGTGAAGTTGAAATATAACGTTGGATGATACCTTAAAAATTTGAATGACAGAGTACTGATTATTACTATAACAGATGATATGGAAAGTTGAAGAAATATTCAGAATAAATGTTTATTTTAAGTTATTTTAGGTTTTTTTTAATTTTATTTAAGCTATCTTCTGCAGTCAGTAATTTTATTTTATTTATTTTTCAGGTAATTGTTCTCCATTATTTGAGTTATGGATTAATGGGAGGCTTTTTGAGAGTTATTAGTTGGCTTTCTGCTTATAATATTGAGCTTCAAAATGGTACCGGAATAAAATAAACATTTTTTTTATTAGTGGAGATTCTCCTTGAGTTTTATTAGTTGCATGAGTTTAAAATCCTTAATCCTTCATATTTATTAATTAAGTTAAATTCTGATTTTATATTTTAATAGAACTTTTTTCCGGTCTTCCTCTCCGCCTATCTTTAATCCAATCATTATGTGACATAATAATTGCGTTTCGTACGGCACGAGAATTAGCATGTTAAGAAGATTCCAAAAAATAATAATCGTTTAAAAAGAAAACATTATTATTGCAATTTCAAGATGAAGCAACGGGGACAAGATTGATGACGGGAAAAGTAGAGATGATGGTGCTGGCTGCTCCTCTCATCCTTAATATAAAACCTATTTAATTAAATTGATTAAATTAAAAAAAATCAAGAAAAGTAATTAATTATAAAAAATATAACATGTTTTTCTAAAACACCATAATCATCTTTCTTAATATCGTCTCTTTCTCTTCTACTTTATTGTGGTTAAGAAAGTATTCATAGGAGTATTTTAGAAAAAAAATAATAAATATGAAAAATAGATCTTATATTTAGAATCGAAATCAACTCAATAATTAAGTCCTGTATTAAGGACTGGAAGAGTATTAGAAAAAGAGAGGACGATAAAAGATACCAGACATAGGAGGGGTAGAGGGTATTTTTTTAAAGAGCAAAATAAAAAATTTACAAAAGATAGCAGCTCTGCAATCAACATTCAAAGGCCCCCTCTTGGGAATTCTCATCACCAAAAAATGTGCAATTCTCATTGACAGTGCAATGTTTATTACCATTAGCAAGTCCAACCAAGCATACTTTTCATGGTAATGAGATAAAGATTGCCATTACAGATCTGTAATGGTTTGAACCAAACCGGCTCTAATTTCCTTCCGTGGTAGCCTTTCTTTAACAATAGACATACATCAGATAGTATTTCTGTGTGTATATGTGTGTATAAACAATCTAGTAATTATTGTAATTATCCTCTACCTCGTTTGTTTTCCTTTGTGTTCTGCTGACTTTATTGTCGCATAGTTTCCTTCAGCTTGGGAGGGTCAGATGTAATAGACTTCTTTATACAATCTACGATGCCTTCACAGTCAGTCGTTTCAAGGGAACAGACTGGGTCATCTTCAGAAGCATCATCTTCTACATGCGAATGTGGTGACTTGAGGTTCCCATGAGTTTGGCAGGCCTTCATCGTCTTGCAGTGCTCAGCCTCATCATCTCTGACATTTACAAATACATCGTACAGATTCTCTGAAAGGGAAAAGTTGTGACGTTGCATGATCAATATTCTAATTTCAATGCATTAACCAAAAAGAAAAAGCAAGGTTTATATGGAGTTTCCCTCGGCAATCATCTTTTATGTATGGAAATTCCAACAAAATCATACATGAAATGAATTGTTCTATTGTCAGAGATTGCAAGAACTCAAACGTTTTAGTTGTTGTAATCTGTGAAACTAGAAGTTTAAGCGGCTAAAGCTCACTGAGCTTAGATTGTAGACAAAGTATGTGTAAAGATCCCTTCAACGCATATCAACCAAGATTTCGAAATATACCTATCTTCGGCCTTCGAGAATTTGGGGCTCTGGAAGTTTGAAATTCATCTGACATAACGAGATAGGGAAACTGTGAAAAATCTAGTTTTCTCTTCATTAGACAACCATATGTCATAAAAATGAGAAGCTTACCAAATAAATACAAGTCATTTCCTGTGTAATAATTCACAGCCACCTTAGGTGCAGGCATTTTCTTCAATTCCTCTACATATATATAAAACCATGCCACGTTATGGAATCGGATAAAGAAGTAGAAATACATATGAAACCAATGCACGAAAAGCCTTCATCCAATACATAATCAAACATCCAAGCGCAATCAAAGTAAGACCATTCTTGTCTCGATTCATTTTTTGAACCTTTTTTGGAGAAATTCACGCCACTCTTTGAAATGTGCGCTGATCAATGAGATCAGTTGCGTTAACTCAAAATGAATATTGAAATCAAGTCCATATAAGCCAGATAATTTATCGTAGGTCTCAACATAAAGCCAGAATGAGCTCAACCTTTTTAAATTGTTTTCATATTTGATTCATTGTAGGCAGATAGCAATTTTGTAGTAATATTCTGGCCATCACTTAACTACAAAAAGGTCCAACTAATATTACCAAAAAAAGTCAAAATCTTGATGACAAAGAAGGGGCAAAACAAAAAAGAAAAGACTTCTCAATCATACCTCCTTGGACCTTGATGAATTTGTCATATGTTTCATATGCATGACTCTCAACGCATTCAGAAAAGTGATCTGCACTAGTTATAAACCAAACGCATATATCAGCAACTGATGAGCCAAACAGACATGCACCAACTTGTTAAGAATATACATGCAGTTAAACACAGTCTTTTCCAGTGTACCATCTTTAACCATTGGCATCTTCAAAAATCACTTTTTATAAAGCTTTTCTCGGTTAAATAAAAAATCATTCTCTAACTTTCAACATTCCAAAAAGCCAGAATGTTAGATGGGCAGGGTTTAAAGTGCAAAAAATTTAAATACTTATTACTTACACGCCATTCTTGGGCTAATAGCATACATAAGAACTGTCATAAAATAATAAGCTATCGCAATATGTTGGGCAAGAAACCGGTCAAACCACCAAGAATTGCCCCCTAGTTCCTGCAATCAGATGAACAAGCATCTAAGTCCTCACATGCAAAAAAAATCTTTGTAAATAATATTAGGTGCATATGCCTGTTTGCAAATAACATAAACTAGCAACTTGTCCCTAAAGAGTATATCTCAGTTTTCTGTTAAGATACACGTCATATTGATCTTTCAGACATGTGGCATAATGATAAGTTCTGCAGAGCAACAGCTTCTCAAACGATATACTTCAGTGATCCATATCCCAACCCAAATAACAAAAACTCAAAAATATATTAACTTCAACAGGTTTTCATTTTACTGAATAAATATTTTCATCATTTTTTCAAGGGACGGGTACTGTTTGACTCCATTTTACTAGCATCAACATTTTAATCCAATTACTGCGACGTTCCAAGCACTAAGCCTCCTTGAATAAGAATGATACAAGGATGAACAAGTATTGGTAGTTTCGTCAAATGACATAGCAACAGCAATATGATTTGAGTTTCCTTTGATCATACAAATTTTCGGAAGATCTTACTTCCATGATGAGCAAATGATGCATTTCATTCCAGCTCTCAGCAAAATGCACTTTCAAATAGTCCGCTCGCCTCCACCAGCCAAAACTCTCATACAAGTGGAGAACGGATATAAAGGCTGCCATACATAAAGATATATACAAATCAACAGCTGCAATGACAGCGCATGATGACTACCAACATTTACATTAAATAGATAACTAACTAAGATGTAGAGTCCATAAGAATTTCCTGTAGTATTTTTCACTAAATTAAATCTGATCCCAACATTAGAATGTCTTTTAAAAGAAAAACTGGAAGCTGAGATACCCATGCACTTATGTGATTTTAGAGGACAATCTTTTGTGCATTTTTGAGTTATCTGCCATCAAGTTCTCCAATAAGAGCATGACCAATGAATTTCCTTTCGGCTCAGCATTTCATAATTAGGTCTTCCCAAGAAAAAAAATTCTGATAAATGTTGTCATGTGTTCATTAAAGAGTTTAGAAACAAACAACAAAAGAACTTTACAAAAATCCAGTTCTTTATTATATAAATTATTAAAAACAAAATAATGATCACGACAACACATAAACGTACCAGCAAGGATTCAGCATCCTTGCTCAGAGATCAAGATTTAAAAGTTCAAACTTCCCGCTACTTGTTTAAAAAACAATAATAAAAAAAAAGGACTAATTAAATACCACTTACCAAAGTAAGGAACTCTTGCAATAG